TTGGGCCAATCAAATTTGTTTTTTTGCGTGATAAAATCAAAATATGATCAACGAAAATCATTACCAATTATAAGGATGTCCATTATGCTCATACAACTATTAATATTCACTGATTATCCGGATAATTAATGGATACAACCACCAAGTCTTACAGCTCATCTCTTGTCCTTTGAAGTTCCTCCCAAAATATTAGACTGATCATTCATATTTTTTTTTCTCCGTGTATCTGAACAACAGAGTCATAAGAATGAGTTTACAATGTATTTTCCTTCAAGTCTATTGATCAATATATGGGGCCACAGTTTTGTTTAACAAATATGCACTAATAACATTTAAAGAATGTTTTCCTGATGGATCTTTAGACTCTAATATCAACATTCCTCCATTCAAATAATCATAATGGTAGACTGCACTTTGTTCATTTCCATTATTATTTTACTGCAAAAATGTGCCCCATTTGGTGCTGTGCTGTATGCTTGCCAAATTAAATTATAATTTAAACTAATTTTGTTTGCACTGCAAGAAAAATTGAAGCTGTTGTGATCCCTCTGTGTTATCTCAAAAAAATAACATTGATGACCAAGAAATCATTAATTCTTCATAATTAATTTCTCAATTATTACATTTGCATTTTCATGAGGACAGGATTCATCTGGATGATACACTTATTCTTTTGTTCAAACAAAGCTAAAATTTGTCCTTTCAATTCAGGTTTGTCTTTAAAATAATTAGTTTTGAATCCTTCCATTCCATTTATTGGAAAAAATGGCTTAATTGGTGTAGGAGAAATATGCACATGTCCAGATTTACATTTCCATATGTATACTCCAAGGATACAAAATTGAGAGATTATTTTTAATGAGCTTTTTTCTTCAGCCATAATATTCCTAAACCAAAGTGTCAGAGATCCATATTCATTATCTTTTTGCCATTTCTTTTCCAGAACATGGCAGCAAACAATTCTCTAGCTTCATTGAGACTAGATCTTGTTGTCGTTGCTGAGATATTTATTGTATCTAGAATATTAAATCTTGTGTAGAACTTTTTTAGCCCCAAGCTACATTTAATAATCTAGCATCAGGCTATATTGTTGAGATAACATGTATACAACAACTCTAAAAAGGATGTTACATAACAAGAATTTCTCTAATGAGTATAAGATTGATATTTTTAGCAGTATTTTTTTTGAAGTATTGTTTGTTGTATATATTATTTTTTACAGCTTGGTGAATCCATAACCTTCTTCCAAGATTTCATCTTGCCATATTTTAAAGCCTGCCCTTTAGTTCTACCATTATAATTTGATTCCAAAGAATTCATAAAAGAGGACTTTTCAAACCTTTACAAAAATATTAAATTATGTGATACAATGCAAAAAAAAATTATATAATTTTTATTTTTGAAAAAATGAATACCCATTAATATTGATTGATTGGTATTTCTGCACAAATGATATTTGATGAATATTGTGCATTAGTTTAATTTTGGAACAATTTTTCTAGCATCAGTGAGTAACCACTACTAATTCAGCCAAATTCCTGTGTATATTTTCCTTAGTTGAAATATTAAATTCTCTTATTGCTTTGATTTTCAAAAGTTCCATCACCTTTAATTGGAATTGTGTTGAAGAATCATGACTTACAATTGCATGATTATGAGAAATCCTTGTTATTGACTGACGGAAATGCCCCTGGAAACCTTTCAACAAGGATTTAGCTTCTTTTCTCTATGTGTATTTGTTATGAAAGAGTATCTATTTTTTATATAAACCCATAACATACATACAAGAAAAGCATTTTTATATGTACTGTCTGTCAAGATACCCGAAAAATTATTTTCAGAAAATGCTTGAGCTTCCATCCACTCTGATTACAAAATGCAAACAAAATTTGTGTGAACCTTTGGAAATCCATTATAAAATTATCACCACTATGACAAGATGTTTTTGTAATTAAATTTTCTTCTTTGATTGCTTTGCATCAGTAGTATCCAATGCGATCATTATTGGCAATGGTGTCTAAAATGTTTCTAACTGAAGCCAAAGGACAGTTATTATTTAAAGATGACCAACTTGCAATTTTTTTGGTGCTGCACGAATTCTTTCTTTAAATTGTTCATTATGAGTATTATATGGTTTTTTGTGCTCATGATGCCCTGTAAAAAAAACAGAAGATAAACCCATTTTCATCGGGTTTGTCAAATTGCAATTCTCTGTTAAATATATAATGGGCTATTAAATTTAGTATCAAAAAATGAGTAAATATAATATGATAATAACTTTCCATTATTATTATAGAGAGAATCCATTATAGATATTAATAATATTATTAATTTCTGATGTGTTAGAGTGTAGATACTAATTAATTTTACCACAAAATAATCATATCTTTCTCTGATATTAATATAATTGATGATTATTGTGACAACGGCATATTGACAATGTCCCCCACATGGCATTCCACTAATGGCTTTATGGTTAGCTTTATTCACAAAATAGGCTTATAAACGTACAGCTCTGAAACTGACGTATAATTTTTTTCTAAACTTCATAGATATCTATCATAGGGATATCCGCCCGGAGAACATAGTTATGGTAACTCATACTGATAACAAATGTTGATAGATTTTGCATTGGCAATTCAAGGTTCTCAAATTTTATTCGAGTTCGCTGGCACGCCTGTATATTCAAGTAAATATTACGATGTAATCGTGAATAGAATGGGCTATTGCTTTATCAGAAATAATGACTCGATATATCTTGCTAATATCTTAAAGTGGATGAGAAGCCAATTAAAAACAGACAAAGTTGACATTTCAGAGAGGGGAAAACGAAAAATAACTTCAGACAGGTCCAATGAAATTGATGAAATTTTCTTTCAAAAAGTTTCAAGAGTTGAAAATCTTTTTGGAAAGCGAATTAGAAAGGACATCTACAAAACATATTTGCATCAGATAAAATTCGAGAGTGTCCCGATCTCATTTAAATTTTTATATAGTGGATTTGTAAAATCTTTATAATAAAAAATTTATATACTTTGGCTCTTGAAAACATGATTATTATTTTTCTCTTTTATTATTTCCTGAAATACATGGATTCCGTTTATCTATTCATTTAGAGATGTGCGGCATGCGCATTTTTTTTCAAATCATGCAATGAAATTAATAGATTTTATTAAATTGGGTAAAAATTAATGGTTATAAGCAAAATAGAGCTAGATATAAATATCGTGTCAAATTGAGGGGTTGTTGTTGGAAGATGTGAATTGTACTTAAAGGAAAATAATTCCATGCTCATAATGTTCAAGCACAAAGAAATTTAAACTTGGCAAATGATACGATTGGTCATTACTTATAAACCAACACGATATTAATATACAATCGAAATAGAAATAACAAGACAAAAAATAAATTATCAGAATTTGGATTTGATCAAATAAAATAATATAAACTTGTTATATTTTTTATATATTTTGTATGATAACCTAAAAACAAGGTTCAGATACATTCTTCTACTCGGTTTGTATTTATTCTTTTTCTGGTTATTATATAATTATATAATTTTTTTTTTCGAACTTGTTAACATTATTTTCAATCATCTTACAAATTCAATCTCATCGATACATTTTATCTGAATTAGCTGGTATAATGGAATAATCTGGGCTCCACACTAATAGTAATAGTATATTATTATAATCATAATTATTAATTAAAACAAATCATGTGTATATTGAATGTTTACCTTGTAATAATCCTGAAGTCGTTTCTGAACCAGAAGATATTGATGCAATCGTCCGATCATAATCCGGATTGGGATGCCATGCAAAATCAACAACTTTAGACCTAATAATAAATAATTAATATTTTTATTCAAAATGAAATTTACTATTTTAAAAAAAGAACTTGTGCTTAATTTACCGATGTAAATTATGTGTAAAATGTATTCCATTATCTTCTTTAATATTCTAAATAAATAGACATTGAGATTAATAATAATACCAATTTTTGAAGCTGAAAGAGGATTAAATAAAAAATACCTACTACTGAATTCCATATGATGACGGATTTATCATCTGAACAACTTGCAAATAATGATTTGATATGAGGCGACCAGCTTACTTTATTCACTGTATCAATATGTTTTTTAAAAGTATGTAACGGAGATGGCTTTTTTTATAAATAAAATAACCAAATAAACAATATAAATATAAATACAGGCATTATATATATTAATTCGTCAATTTAAAAATGACAAACATTTTTTTAAGAATACTCAACTAAATTATTAATAATTCCTTTCAATTTACGTGTATCCCACCATTTAATAGCACCATCCGCGCCTGATGTCAATAGAAAATTTTCCACATATGGATCATAATGACAACTTGTGACTGAACCAATATGTGCATTGTTAATCTTATAAATGCGATAAAATTAATTATTAATAAAATGAATATATATTAAACTTTAATTTTTGATAATTGTACCTTATCTATTATTGATCTTTTACTTTTATAATCACAAATTATCAAGTGACCTTTGTCAGATGTACTACATATAACACTACTTCCATCATCTCTACTATCACATGAAGTAATCTTATTTGTCGTATATTCGTTTTCATTGAAAATATTCATGATAATTTTTGGTTTTTGAACTATTAGAAAAAAAATTTATTATTATTATTTAAAATAAAAATAAAATAAATAATAAATAAAAGAAATTTTGACATTTAGAATTACCTCCCGAATTTTTTTGATTATCTGAAATTTCCCAAAGTGCCAAATAACCATTGTCGGCTAAAAATATGGGTAAATGTATATATAAATATTTATATACCCTCAAATTGTTTTAATATTATTATATTATTTACTCACTATTATTAATCACCAATTTTTTATTCCTAAGTAAACAAAAAGCCGGTCCAAACTTATAATTATCTGAAGCCTCATCAACACCAAATTTATTCAAAATTTCATAACTATCAAACATAATTATGAATAAGATTTTTTTTTTTGATTGATTAAATAATTTATAATGTGCGTGAGCGAATATGTATACATACGATTGAGGATCTTTAGGATCTTTCATATCCACTAAATAAATGTATTTATCGGTATTCGCAATAATTTGATTATTCTCTATATGTCTAAAGATAAATATCAGTGTGTTAATAAATATATATGTTAAAAATTAATTAATTAATCAATCAATCAATCAACCAAAAAAGATAGACACACATATATAAAATAAATAAAGTTATTTACTTTGCTTGATGAATCGAAGGTTTCTCACGAGTAATAAATCGGTTAATGTACTTTGTATATTAAAAAATATAAGTTTAAAAAACAAAGAAATTAATCAATTTAATTTGAAATATATTTATAAAATTTACTTGAATATTTTTATTCTGTTTTTGAGATTGAATAGGTTTAAGACTTGAAATATTAGCGTAATAATTTTGTGGATACATTTTGCATTCCAGTTGATTTAAGAATGATAATTTTAAATCATTATTTGTTTTTTCATTAGAAACTAGATAAAAAACCAAAGATTATTAACATGTATGTTCATGTTTTATTGTTGTCGTTACTATTATTATAATTAAATATGCACAAACCACAATATAATTTAAATTTTTTTGCTTCTTCATTATTTCTGAACCTAGTAGCATTTCCCCATTCAACTGTAGTAAACGAAAAATGTTTTTTACTCCATTGAGTACTTTGCGAATAAACCATGTTATATTTAGCAAAAATATTGGGTTTCAAATTATTTTTATTATAGAGTTCCTTGTAAAATTCCTAAATATAAACGAAATAAATCAAAATTTTAATAACTATTATACAACTGTTTAAATTATTTTATTTATAAAATCAATTATTATTATTATTATTATTATTATTATTATTATTATTATTATCATCATCATTATCAATTGAAAATTTTTTTTTAAATACCGGATAAGATTTTTTTTTATTATTCTTTTTAAATTTTTTATTACTTTCTTCTTCAAGAGTTATAATATTGTTCTAAAAATAAAAATAAAAATAATAAATAATTGACAATAAATTATAAATCATGTATTCAAAAAAAACCCCCCATTACAAACTCTACTATTTATCAAGATTAATACAATAAATATACAAACCAAGTTGGCTCTTTTTATCCCTTGTGGTTTATTCATATCATGAAGACTATTTTTTGCTGCTTCTATTCTTTCTCTTATTGTATTAGTATTAGTATTATTATTGCTGTTATTGTTATCATTAACATCTTTTTGATCTAAATTATTTTTTGAATCATTATTGACATAATTTGTCCTTGCATTTGATGTTGAAGTTGTTGATGGTAGGGTTGCTTTTGATGTCGATCCTCTTCTTACTATTGGTGGAGCTGATTTTGATGTCGATAGTGTTATCATTGATTCTGCCGGCACATTTGATGTTGGTATTATTGAGTTCGATGGTATAATTGGGTTAGATTCTGATCTTACTATCAGTACCGTTGGAATTTGATCCGCTAATGCCATTGAAGAATATGGTATAGATTTTGGTTTTGTTGCGGTTGATATTGAAGATGGTGTTGAAGGTGCTATTTGAGTTGGAACAGTTGGTGGAATTAGAGATGTCAATTGTTGTGTCATTGAATTGCTAGCTTTATTGTTATGTATTAATCTGTGATAATTTTGTTTGACAGATTTATCATTGGCGGGGGCAATTTTTTTGTTTATATTTTTTTGAGGATAAGACCATCGAGGAACAATACTTTTTGATGGTGATGAAGACTCATTCAATGGTAAAGGTCTTTTATTATTTAACCTAACATTATTATTATTATTATTATTATTATTATTATTACTTGAATCTATATCATTGTTACTATTATTAATATTAATATTAATCGTCCTAGATTGATTTTCCTGATTTAAATCTGATAAATTATTATTTACTTGATTTTTTTGAAGAAAATTTGGTAACCCGTTGTTAGTTGATTTTCTTCTTTTTTCTATAATAAATAAAAAAGCCCGAGATTATTAAATTTAATCAGATAATTAAGGCATTCATACATCCATATATACTTATAATTTAAACAACAAAACCTTTATTGTATATTTAACCTGAAACAATTCTAGAGAACTCCTCACGATCTATAACCATGATATCGTTATCCTATTATTATTATTGAAACCACACTTTAAAAATTGACGAAAAAACTTTTGAAAACTTTGAAAAAAATTTTATCATATATTTACTTCAATTTCATTATTGTTATTATTAATGTTGTTGTTGTCATTATTGTGATTTATATTGCTTTCATAAAGATTTTGTGAGTTTGGAGGATTATCTGTCATTTTTTGGTTCAAGAAATCTTCTATATATATATTGAAAATATTATTTTTGTTTATTTTGGGACTTCTAAAAAAGGACCCATTATTAAACCAAGATCTGCTATCAATTTTACCACGTGATTTACCCTACCCTTAAAAAAAATTTTTTTATCTGAATCTCTCTTGAAAAAAAATTTTTTTAGACAATGACTGGCGGATTGTAGGTTTTTTACATTAGAGATAAAATAAATAAATCATTTTTCATCTAAAATAATAAATAATAAGAAGTAATTTTTTTATTTAATAATTTTAGAACCGTGCCAACAGTTGAACAAATTCTTGTTCCTGAAACTCTTTTGAAAAAGAAAAAGGCTCAGGAAAAGCTTGCAGCCAAGTCTGTCGTGGAGCTTAAAAAAAAACGCAAGGTAAAGATAAAAAAGACTTTCATATAATTGATTTTTATAATTTGATTCATATTTATCATGGGTAAGAAAGATCGAGAAAAAATCAATGATAAGATGATGATTATTGTTTTTTTTAAATTGACATTTATAATGATGATTTGGGAATTCCCATTAAAAGTTAATCTAGCTTTGGCAATGCTGATACTATTTAATACCATCTTTCGGGACTGACAATATGTCAATTTTTTGCCTATTTAAAATGGATTTTTAAAGAATTTATTTTTTTATTTTTACACAAATAAATCTTCTCTTTCTTTTAATTACAATTGATGTTTGTTAGGTTGCAAAGACAGCTCGTCGTACAATTCTTAAACGTGCAGGTCAATATTTTAGAGAGTACCATGCTGCGGAACGAGATGTAGTCCGTTTACGTCGTCAGGCCAAAGCATGTGGTGATTTTTACGTTCCTGCTCAACCAAAATTGGCGTTTGTTATTCGTATTAAAGGGTAAGAGGAATAAATGACTGATTGGTTGATCAATGAATCAAAGCAAAATCTGCATTTTGAGCTGTTAATTGATTAAAAATCAATTTTAGAATAAATCATATTCCTCCCAAACCACGTAAAATTCTTCAATTGTTACGTCTTCTTCAAATTAATAATGGAATATTTCTTCGATTGACAAAGGCAACCAAAGAAATGCTTCAATTGGTAAATCCATATGTTGCTTATGGTGAACCTAATCTAAAGTTAGTTTTAAAAAAATATATTTATAATTATTTAATGTTTACGATGATCCCTTTACACTACATTTATATATTTATTCATTCATAAAATAGATCTGTACGTGAACTTATTTATAAACGTGGTCATGCAAAAGTAAATAGACAGCGTATTCCCATAACAGATAATTCAATTATCCAACAGAGTTTGGGCAAATTTGGTATCACTTGCGTTGAAGATTTAATTCATGAAATTTTCACTATCGGACCAAATGTAAGTATAATATACGTTAATTATAATTTATCAAGTTATTAGATTTTATTTATTTATATTCATTTTTTTTTCCAGTTCAAACAAGCAAATAATTTTCTTTGGCCTTTCAAATTGTCAAATCCTAACGGTGGTTGGGCTAATAGAAAGTTTAGACATTATGTTGAAGGAGGAGATTTTGGTGATCGTGAAGATAAAATCAATGCATTAATTAGTAGAATGAATTAAGAGAATTAAGAAAATCAAATAATTTATTTATATAAATTTATATAATAATTTCCTCGTATGTTTTTAAAAAAATAAAATTAATTGTTTAAAATAAATTGCCACGTGATATCAGGAAAATTTGAAATTCTAGTGTAACATTAAGTTTGTGAAAAAGTATGGTGAAACCACTGCTTACTTCCAAGAACATTAGAATTCCTAATTCAGAATCCGTTAATTATAACATAACTGTTTTCATTTAACATTATCAGAGTCAATAAAAGCACTAACAAAGATGAGAAAATGGAAAAATTATTAAAAAAAGCAAAGCTGTTTTTTGATCAGAAACAAAAACCAAAGACAAGAGCCACTTCATTATGGAATTTTATTGGTGAGTTAATTTCAAGGTGGGCTGTGATTTATGTTAGATGGTTTATAATTAATTATTTAAAGATTGATTTTACCTTCTGGATTATTATTACTGCTACTGCTATATTATATTTAATAAAGGTTGTTTACATAATTAATTGTTGTTATTTATATTTATTAAATATATTCTTTTTTTTTTTTTAATAAAGATGTTACAAATGATTTAGATCAAGCTCAATTCTTTCAAGAACATGCTGAAGATGTTTTTGATGTAGTTCTCAATTTATATAGGAGCCAGATTGAAAAAATAAAACGTGAGAATTAATCATCAATAATCAATCAATCAATCAGTAGTCAATCAATCAATAATCAATAATAAATCAAATCAAATCAACAAATTGATTAATGTATATACTATTTAACTAATATTTTAAAGCTTACTTGAATTTTGTTTATTTTTATAATTGTAGGAAGACCTGATCGTCCTGTTTCGTTTTCTTCAAAAGAATATATTAATATAAATAAAACTCTTGTACTTTTAAGAAAAATTTTTTTATTTTTACCCGATATCATAAAAACTGGTTGGAAACGAAAAGAAATAGGTATATTATATATATATATATAGACATTTTTTAAAAACTTTAATTATTAACTTGATTTTGAATTTTAATAATATTCAAAATAACAACAACAATCATAATCAACATAGCTGAAATGCTTTCTCACATACTTGATCATGGAAATCACCCACGACTTAGAATACAAGGATTTCAACTACTATTACTTTGGATGAATGATTTGACACATGAAATACCTGAATTTTTACATCTTTACTCTAATGCAATATCATTGGATCTATTTTTATATGATCAAATTCGAAATTTAAATAGTAGTGAACATAATAATGATTATAGACAAGATGTTTTGAAAAAAAAAAATAGATCTTTAATACTTGATCAAAGCCTAATAAAATGTAAGTTCATAAGTTCAATAATACAAATACAAAATATTGACTGTTGTTGATCATCACAATTATTCATTTCTTATCCATTTTCGATAGCTGATGATCGTGTCGCGTTGTTACCAAACCCATACCCACCAACTTTCACTGATTCCATACATTTGTTACAAGTTGAGTTAAGTGGTTTAGTTAGACTTGCTCATGTTGCTGCGGGTTCAACACCGCCACCAGAAAATTATGATTTTCCACTTATTGAGAGTATTGAGCCTGATAATGGCATAGCTGTAGGAATGGGTATTGATGCAGCATTAGCAGCAGCAAAGTTTCATTTTGAGCTTGAAAAAAAGTTATATTTAATTAAATTATTCCCACAGTGTGCAAAAAAAATGGGATTGTTACCTGAAAATAAAGGTATATATTGGAATCTAAAGAAATTTATTCATGCACTAAGAAAATTGACAAACTATATATTATTTTTTATTTGAAACAAATCTTTATTCAAGATCTTGGCTTTCAGAAATGTCCTCCAACAATATTACGAGCATTAATTACATTTTTTATACACCATTGCCTTGACAATTACTGTCTTTCTGAATCCATTACATCATATCCTTCACCTGCTACTCCAATACTCAAGTCAATCGTATTGGGTCCAGAAAACAGGGAGTTTGCTCATGAAATAGTTAAACAAGCACTTATGCTACCTTCTGGGAGTCCGTTATACAAGGATATTGTAAGAGGTGCCGTTCATATAGTTGGTGTTTGGACATTAAGCGGGGTTGGTTTATAAAATAAAGATAAAATTATATCATCTAATATGTAATTGTAAATTTTATTGAAATTTCAAACTTTCTAATTTCCATAATAAATCTTATTAAAATAATTATAACAAATCATATTAGGAAGAAGAACGTCCGACTTTTTTACGTAAGTCTGCAACAACCCATCCACAATCAACATCAACGCTTCCTTCAAATAGTTCAATAATCTCAACAGATAGTCATAGTGAATCATCTTTTGTTCCAGAAACAAATTTTTTTGATGCCAATATTTATATCCGTAGATACATTCAATTATTAACTTTATGTTTTCAAACTCAACCATATGGAAATGCTGAGGGAGGCATGACAAACCTCGAAATAGATGCACAGGTAATTATTTGTTAATTAGATAAATCGCTATTTATGGTTGATTGTAACTATTTATTTTATTAATTGAATAAATCACTATTTATGGTTGATATTTTATTTATCCATCTATCCATAAACATTTTTATTCAAATTAAATTATAAAGGTTTCGATTTATCGTGATATTTTATCTTTATTTCGTTCTATGATTGCGGAAGGTCCTATCGAACTAGAAACTGAAACATGGTTATTTATTTATTGCTTTTTTAAAAATATTTTTTTAGACATTATATAACTGTTATTATTCATAATTAAACTAACATGTTTTCATGTAATTTATTTATTTCATATTTAATTGTACCAGGGAAGTTTTACTTGTTTCGTTATTGGAAATTCAGCCAAAATTAATGAATCAGAATAATAAATCTGATTCATCACAATCAGCAACATTAACATTAACAGACGAGCTTATAGATTATTTAATTGAAGTATGCTATATATATATATATTTTTTTTTTCTTGATTTTTTAAATGGTCATGAAATTTATTATTAGATTTAAACATTTTAGACAATATATTATGCATTTGCTCGATCAAGAATACCTCAACCTAAACTTTGGGGAAGCCTTACAAATCAAATGTATAATAGTACAAATTTGTCCCAAACCATTTCTCAGTGGGCGGTAATAAATATATCTATATATCTATATATCTTGGGAGGAAAAGAGAAACTGAATACTTAAAAAAAACTTTTTTTCGGAAAACATCTAA